CCTCACATTTGCATGAGGCTTCAGAATCGGGACATCATTTAAAAATTGCTTGCACTTGTTAAGTGCCGAGTCCCTTCTCATTGGTTTACTTGTGTTGCCTCGTTTGTTCGCATTACCTCATTTATTCTTCACAACAACCGCAAGTAGACGTCAGTTCTCATTCCCCTCTCAAGATTTGGAAGCAGTGATTTCCACAGTCTCCTGGACACTGCACGGTTTCTGGGTCAGACACTCACGTTATCCGACCCAGCACCTGCAAACCAGTGGTTTAGACTCTCTTCTACAAGCACGGCCTACTCAGTGTAAAAATACTTTTCTCTTTTGAATCAGCCACACTTACCTTTCCATCTTCAGCTACACCCTAAGCTCACCTATCTGAGCCCGCCCCCTCTAGCTCTAAAGCTGCTCCTGTCTGGCCCTTCTGCACCTCCCCTGGAGTCAGAGGCTTCACTAGAGGAGGGCTTTAAACAGTTGCACACCTCGTGAGGCCGCCATTGTTTTACCCGGTATCTGCTGTCCCAACATCTTCATATTTTGCTCAGACAAGAGAAAAAATGTCAGATTTTGAGATTGTAAAACCCAATTTTCATTTGCCTCTGAAAATTATGGGATCAGATTTTTCCAGTGCTTCTCAAAGAGGTGGGGGGATTGGGGTAAGGGACTTGCAGCGGCAGGCAGCACACGGCATGCACACGTGGTGCTGGGGCCCAAACTTCCAGTGCTATGTGTCACACAGGCTCTTAATGTTGTGCTTCCTAAGCCTACAGTAGACCGCCAGATAGACAAAGTGTACACAGCTTCTGACAGACACCCCGGAGACCAGACTCCAAATGTTTACCCTTGAAGAAAGCCCCTGGGTTGTACACATGCTGTTCAAAGCTTGCCCACTGCTCTGATGGATCTGCGGCTTCTCTTCCCATGCAGCAGTGAATACTCATGCGGGATTTTATTGTACCATCAGGTTTCGCCTCTTCTTTTGGAAAGGGATTTAATGTGACGTCCATTTAATCACTTCAACAGTAGAGTTAAAGGTTTGATGTGATAGTCCAATTAAGTCACAGAATTGTGACCATATGTACCTGCAGAATCAAGAGTGTGATGCAGGGGATGTCCATGAGCTTAATTAGAATGTGGCCTATGTTTCCTGCCCTGGGCGTACCAGTGTCGCTTCATGAGGCTGATGGAAAACTGCCTTGACAGGCAAGAGCTGCGCCCAGAGTCCCTTCCTAGCCATCTCTTCACACCACCAACTGTGTGCTGCAAGTGCAGGATTCCCATCACTTCACTAAGAATTTCTCTCTTGAAGCATCTGGGGAAAGAATGTGAACTGCTCAAGGAAGGGAGAAAGAATTAACAGTGGAGTTCAAGTGAGCCAGTCAGTGTGTACTAAATGCTTGATGCATACCAGCGCTGCGGGAGGCACACAGGGACAGGCACGCTCCTCAGGAAATGGCTTAAAAATTAGCTAAAATGAAATGGGCAGAAGTGACGATTGGGTTGAATTTACTTGATTTAAATTTGGTTTTATCAGCTACTGGATCCTCCTGTATTGGGGATTTTTATGTGTCTGAGTCTTAGATGTCGGCCTTGGGTCCTTCATCAATTCTGTCCATTTGTAACAATTTAATGGGTGATTTTGGTGAAATTGCTGATGGATTTGTAATTTATCATGTGCCTTTATGATATTGTTCCTACTGGAAATACCTTTTCTAACTCATTCTCAATGATTTCAACTTGCTTATTGCCATTTTTCATGTTCAAAGTTTAATAGAAACCATTTTTAAAGAAAAATGATTGGAAATAGAAATGATCAATTTCTAGACCCTAATTTTTTTATCTTTCATTTCTTTTTGAAAAAGTCACAACCAGGAATATAAAGAAATACAATAAATTTGTGTTACCATAAATAAATGACTTTGAACTTTTAGAAGTAGATTTAATTACCTTCTCCCACTTGCTAAGTTGTTTGGCTTTTAAAATTCTTAATTCTCTTTAAGCCTCTGATGCCTATTTACATATTTTGGCCAATGTAGAGACTGCCTAACTTAAACTTATAAATTCTTAGCTGATTTTTTCCAATACAATATTTTGTACAGTTTTTTTCAAAAACATTTTTTCCTATTCTCCACGTGCTTTTTTTTAACTTTTATTTAATGAGTATAAATTTCCAAAGTACAGCTTATGGATTACAATGGCTTCCCCCCCATAATGTCCCTCCCACCCACAAGCCTCCCCTTTCCCAATCCCTCTCCCCTTCCATTCACATCAAGATTCATTTTCGTTTCTCTTTATATACAGAAGATCAGTTTAACATACATTAAGTAAAGATTTCAATACTTTGCTCCCACACAGAAACATAAAATGAAAAATACTGTTTGAGTACTAGTTATAGCATTAAATCTCAATGTACAGCACACTAAGGACAAAGATCCTACATGAGGAGTAAGTGCACAGTGACTCCTGTTGTTGACTTAACAAATTGACACTCTTGTTTATGGCATCAGTAATCACCCTAGGCTCTTGTCATCAGCTGCCAAGGCTATGGAAGCCCCCTGAGTTCACCGACTCTGATCATGTTTAGACAAGGCCATGATCAAAGTGGAAGTTCTCTCCTCCCTTCAGAGAAAGGTACCTCCTTCTTTGATGACCCATTCTTTCCACTGGGATCTCACTCATGGAGATCTTTCATTTAGTTTTTTTTTTTTTTTTTTTTCTCCAGAGTGTCTTGGCTTTCCATGCCTGAAATACTCTCATGGGCTTTTCAGCCAGATCCGCATGCCTTAAGGGCTGATTCTGAGGCCAGAGTGCTGTTAGGACATCTGCCATTCTATGGGTCTGCTGTGTATCTCACTTCCCATGTTGGATCATTCTCTCCCTTTTTGATTCTATCAGCTAGTATTTGCAGACACTATTCTTGTTTATGTGATCCCTTTGGTTCTTAGTCCTATCATTAGGATCAATTGTGAACAGAAATTGATCACCGGGACTAGTGAGATGGCATTGGTACATGCCACCTTGATGGGATTGAATTGGAATCCCCTGGTATGTTTCTAACTCTACCGTTTGAGGTAAGTCAGCTTGAGCATGTCCCGAATTGCACATCTCTTCCCTCTCTTATTCCCACTCTTATATTTAACAGCGATCACTTTAATCCACATGCTTTTGATGTACATAAATCCTAGTTACTGTGTATGTAACACATGTAGGAGATTATATTATCTACTTCATGTTAATATTTATGTCATTCAATTCAGTCAGTACATTTATCACACACCTGCTTATAGCTACTGACAACTGATGAGAGTCATGAAGGATAGATATTTGTGAACTGTGGTGTCTTTATTCTTTACCCTATGAAATAAATACTAATAGGCAGGTTGCATAAACACAGCATAGGATTAAAGATCTGGATGCTGGAATCTCCTTTGAAAATGATGCCTTGCCAAGAGTCCGTGTTTGACGTGTGGTTTGGAAACTCTGCTGTAATTGTCATGCTCTGAAAGACAGGACATGATCTGTGCCCAAGAACACACCAGGAAACCTGCACAGGGTGTGAGAAGCCACTGAGGTGGGCACCCCCTACCCCTGTGTGTCTTCACATGAAGCCCTGGCACCAACACCCACTGCTGAATGCCTGCTGAGCTCAGAGCTGCTGCTAGTTCCGGGAAAGTGTGGTTCAGCTACCGTACTTGACATACGATGTCAATCACGGGGGCAGGCCATTTGTTCTTTGTTTTCTAATATTCACTCATTTCGACTTTGATATTGATTTTCCCCTATTAAAAATATCTTTCCTACCCTGATGGCATTGACCATGAGAAGTTACTTTTCTGTCTCAGTTTTAGGTGTTTAGCGGTTTGTTGAATGTTTTAAGAGCTGGATGTTGGCAGACACTTTATTTCAGAAGCCTACTTGGAGAGACACTTGTGTCCATTAATGATATATTCCCTTCAAAAATTTGTAAGTCAGTGCAATTTCTATACTTTCTGGACATATTGCACAGCACAGAGTAAGCACTTTTTGGCTCCATTTTGCTTTAAATGTATTAAACACGGCAGATAATAAATTGGGAAGTTGGGCAAGGGCATCGCTGCTGATCGTCTCCCACATGCATTGCTATACAGAAGGATTATGTCAATTGTTCTATACAAAAGCCAATGATATCATCTCGGCAAAAGTTAACTTTCCCAAGTGTTTTGGTTGCTTTTAACAGTAAAGTGGACAGGAAAGTTGGCAGGAGAAACTGAGTCTTCAGAACGGGTCATGTGGGTATCTTCAGCAGGTTTGAAATGCCTGGTAGATTTACTTTAATTACTCTGGAGAAACAAATCATGTGGACACATACTACTGCTGAATGCGACACTTGTAATCAGAAGTATATTGGAAGTTACTGAAAATAGCAAAGACCGTATAACACAAAGAGGAAGGTTTCCACATAAAAGTCAGCATGTTCAGTCTGACTTAATCTCTCACAATGCTCCAGGCCCACCCGGGTTGCCACGTATGACAGCATTTCATTCTTTTTATGACTGCGTAATATCACAGTGTGTATAGAAGCATCCACTAATGGGCAGCGTGGTTGATTTTGTCTCAGCTGTGGTGAATAATGTTTTAATAAACATCAGAGTGAAGATGTCGTTTGACATACTGAGTTTCTCTTGGATGTGTAGCCAGTAGCGGGATTGTTGGGTAGCGTGGTAGCTCTATTTTGAAATTTTTTGAGGAAATTTCATACTGCTTTTCAAATACAAGCAGAAAAATATTTCCTTTCTTAAAATATGTTTATTTTTACTTTTAATTTAATGGTTATAAAAGTGTTCATAGGACAGATACTCTAAAACCTCAAGACATTTTCTGTAAATAAACTTTAGCAACGACTGCGGGAAATGTCTGTGTGGAGACTTGCTTCCTTTAGCTGTTCAGCACAGTGTCTGTTTTGTGATAGAAGTGGATCTCCACAATGTTCCTTTACATGGCATTTTTTTTTCTCTTCCCAACAGTTTTACCAAGTCACACGTGTGGAAACCCTGGGGAGATACTGAAAGGAGTCCTGCATGGAACACGATTCAACATAGGAGACAAAATCCGATACAGCTGTCTCTCGGGCTACATCCTGGAAGGCCACGCCGTCCTGACCTGCATTGTCAGCCCCGGCAATGGCGCGTCCTGGGACTTCCCGGCCCCCTTCTGCAGAGGTAAGCCACGGCCCCGGGAACCTGGCACCTGAGCCCACGTGGAGAAAATGGCTCTGGAGCCGGTGTGAGGAAAGTTTCCACGTCCAGGATGAGAGGGCACGTCGGGCCGGGCCTCTCTGGACCTCTCTTTCTGTTCCCAAGCAGAGCTGGGACACTGCACGGTCACTAACAGTTCATGAGTGGTCATCACATCCGTTTCTCAAATCCCACGGGCTTCTCCCTAGACCCCCTCTTGACGTTAAGATCAGCACACTTGCTCTGCCCCTTTCTGTGTGATGGCTCCTCATTCATTCTTTTCCAGTGATAATTAAGTTGCATCTTTCAAGGGCTCTCGCAGCACTCAGTCTGGGTGACCATAAATGATCGCCCTAGTTCTGGTGCAGTGATCCAACTTCTTCCCTTCCCCCACTTTTAAAGTTTTAATTTTTTTATTTACTTATTTTATTTTATTTGAAAGGCCAGGAGACAGAAAAACCGAAATAAACACACGCAAATATGTAATTCTTATAAATGGGGAGATGCAGCATGCCTAAGAGAAACAAATAAATTTCAGCAACGTGGGGTGAGATGGTCTTTACAAGTGAAATGAATATATTTTCTCTTTCCTCAAAGTTCTAACTATTTAACTTCAGGAGCTGTTTGACTGTTCTTAATAGTATTATTTAATAGTGTTTGTTTGCAATGAACTTTTATCAGTATTGTAAGAGTTTACACTTACTCCCAATTGGCAATATTAACCAGAACAGTGAGATTCAACTGCCTGTGTCCTAAAAAGAGTTATTAGGGATCTTCAAAAAGTTCATGGGAAAATGCATAACATGAAAAACTATGCATATGTTCTAAGTATTTTCCAACAAATATGCTTGTGTTTTAATTTTTATTTTTCATGAATGATTTGAAGTCCCTTTGTATGTTGTAAACACATATTTCATATGATATGAAAGAAAATGAGAGTGCTGTAGTTCTCCCTAAAGAGATTTGCCTTAAACAGGAAGCCAGCATCAAATATTCTTCAACAGTGAGAGCTCACATTTTCTGTCTCTGGAGATGTAATCTCTCAGCCCCTTCTTATTGATCATTGAATTTAACGTGACGTCTGCATCTTCTTTAATTTCACTTCATGCATTGTGCATCATTGCCACGGCTTCCTGTAGTCCTTAAAGGCATTTAATATCTCACTCTGTGTGGGAACCGTGTCTGTCTAGGAGAGAAATATAAATGAGGAAAAGAAGAAACAAGGTAGTTTAGGGACAGATGCTTTCAGATCACAGTTCACTGCCATCGTAATTTGCTTTGTGTTTAGCAAATCATCAGTTACGAAATCCTCCTGCTAGAGGAAAGGACACACCACAAACCCCTTTGCATTCCAGGATGCTGGATCAAAATCAGGGATCAAATCTCAGTGACACAGGATTCCTCTTGAGAGGAAGATAAATGAGCCTGTTCATCATCTCCATATTTATGACGGGGGAATAAAGAAATATAAACAGGAGGGAATGAGGTCGCATCTGCATTTACAGAATGAAGAAGCTCCCATCTGACCAAAGGAAACCCCGAGGTTCAGTGGCCCTGTCTTCCTGTCAGCGCAGTGGTGGAACACTGTCCCATGACCTCCCTGTGGCCCGTCCACTCTCTCAGCCCAAGCTCTCGTTTGTGTAAGCATTAGCCCTTACCTCAGTGGCCTGGCTCCATGCACAGAATCCCTTGAAAACATACGAGCTTTTGTAGATGGGAGTACACACAAGGCTGGTTTAGACTTCAGGGCGATGGGAGGCACCCTGGGAACCACTCAGGCCCGCCCAGCCCACTCCAGATCCAGGCTGTCTCCCTGCCTGCCCTTGTCCTTCCTAGGATGCACCGCCATGCCTGTCCTAACTGCCTCAGAAAATAATTCTCAGCAGCAGTCGCAGAACCGAGAGCCCCCGAGTCAGAGCTCTCAACGCTCTCAATCACAAGCCACCGGTAATGACTTATTTTCAACGTACTGCGCTTACAAAGTGGCCTGCCCCGGTACCCTGTGCACAATTTAGATGAAGTACCATAGAAATGCATCCAAAGTCACATTGACAGGACACGTCTCAGGAAATAGGCTGAAGCCCCTAAGTGTGTGATGCCATTTGTACCTCAAATCACCTTGAAAAGGAGGTGAATACAGTGTGGTTATTCCTGCAGGAAAGGTTAGGAAATACAGCTTCAAACCGAGTTGACATCTGCTTTAAATTTCTGCTGGGACTTTGCAGTGATCAGCTACAGACTCGGTTTTCTCGTCCTGCTTTTGCTAAAATCCGTTCACTGTAAGTAACAGACAAATGTAGTTAAAACATTTAGTGACGCAGAAGGGCTCACGTGCAGCAGCATTCTGTCAGATCGCCCATACATGGATGCCACAGACCCAGCCGCATTCAGCCATTTCTGGGGAATTTTTTTGTAAATGTAGCATTATATTTCCTATGTTTATGCTATTTTTTACTACACCAATTTTAAAAAATGTGTAAATTGACATCTTTCTATGAGTAATAATTTATTATGTCACTTCAACGTCCCAGGCCAATTCCCCCAATACTATATAGATTTCACTACACATTTGAATGATACATGGGATCCTTTATGCCTCACTTCTTTAACTTTCAGCAGCACTGCCTGTCTTTCTATCTTGTGAGTATCCTCACCTCAGCTCTTTCCAAAATACTTCCTTATCTGTTCTCTTAGCATTAATAGAAACTTCAAAATACCAAAGCTGTTAGCATTTATATTTTATTGTAGAAAAATAATGGTGCTTTCTGAGGCTTGTCTAAATGTTGTTTGTAAAAGTTGAAAAGAAATAGTATTCTTCCTATTGTAACTGTAAATATTGCCAACTGTGTGTGTGTGAGTGTGTGTGTGTGTCTGTAATTAGATTTCCTTCTTCCAGGATTATAATATCACCATGCTTATGCCACTCAAAGGAGAGTTCAGAGGAGTTTTTTCTTTGTCTCAATTTTTCATAATTAAGCTGTAATTACTTTTGCTTCACATTCGGACTAATTTTTTTTCTCCTTGTTTCGTTAATATCATATTAGCTGGCTAAATGGCAAGGACTCTTTGCTCATATTAGATTCAGAATGAGGATTCCTGATGGGCAGTTGGCTCTGATGTTAGGGGTGTTCTGGGGACTGCCATCTTCCATATCTGACTTCAGTCAAGGTCGCCAGTTGCCTGTAAAAGAGTGTGGGAAGCTATAGGCTGACGCCCCGTGAGTTGGCATCCATCCCCTGCCCTGTACTCTATTGGTGTAAACTCAACCACTGGCCACACATCATTGCCAGGGAAGCCGGGAAAATGAATCAAGTGGAAACTCAGGAAGAAGGAAAAACAGATGTGGTAGATGATGGGCCCAACCACGGCACAACCACCTTTTTATTTGTCCTAAAAGTTAGAATTGTCGTTATTCGCTCATCGATTCATGGCTTGTATGCTTTCGCCGCAATAATCCAGATACCGTCTGCTCCTGAATTGTTGGAATCGTTGCTCATCAATGACTCTATTCTTTCTAATGGTCACTAGTTCATTTCTCCATCTTACACCTGATTATTTATCATTCAGATTGGGAGAGAGCTCTTCCACCTCTTGGTCCACCCTCTGATTGGATGAAACGTCCAGAACTGGGCCAGGTGCCAGGAAGTCCATGAAGGTTGAGTATTTGGGGCCCAGGTAGTTGGGCCATGTTCTGCTGCTTTCCCAGGCATATTAGCAGGGAGCTGGATTTTAAAGGTGCCCTCCAACATGGCTGCCTTACGTTGCAACGATGGCTTAAACCAGTGGGCACTAGACTGGCCCCTCTTTGCTGAGTTTTTGAGGCGATCCCAGATATATTTCCACAGTGGCTACACGAGTTTATATTTAGCATCTACAGTGAAAAGGTTGTGCTTTGCTTCACATTCTCATCAGCAGGGTTATCTTTTTCCCCTTTCAATAGAGTCATTCAAACTAGTCTAAAGTGAAATCTCATTGCAGTTTTGATTTGCATTTCCCTGATGATTGGTGATGTTGGACGTTCTTTAAATGCTTCTTGGCCATTGTGTGCCTTCTCTTGAGAAATGTCTGTTTAGATCATTTACACATTTTGCAGCCAGATTATTTGTTTACTTCCTTTGTAGCTGTTTTGTCACCTTCTGGATATGGGATACTAGTCATATTTCATTATTCATTTGTCTGTTTCCATTTTTGTTGCCTTATTTTGAGTTATTACCCCCCCCAGAAAAAAAACACATTCCCTACACCAATGTCTTCAACTGCTTCCTGTTTCCCTCTAATAATTTCATAGTTTCAGATGTTACATTTAGTTCTGTGATCCATTCTTCAGAATTATGAAAAATTGCTTTCATTTTTAAATATATTATTAGTTTCTGATGAAAATGGATATATTCAATAAATAGCACTCTTTCCTTGTCTGAAATATAAAACAAATAACAAGTAAGCGAGTAAAGAGTAAGGTGCTTACTAAACCTAAATAGCACCTCTACTCCTAATAAAAATGCTATTGAGATGTGTAAAACCATGTGTGTATCCCACATACACACTGACATATGTATGTATATATATATATTTACACAGTCATAAACTAAATACACAGTTAAGTGGACTGCTGTTGGACTCCAGGACAGACTGGCCTATCTACCTAGACCTGGTAGAACTTGACTGAATTAACTCAAAGGTTGAAGATATTATCCTCTATCAACCACAGCTGAAGAGATGGAAATCAAAGGCATCACTCAGCCTTGTCAACCATCCAGTGCTGAGGGGAAGTGTGCTGCTGTGGTGACCACTGGCTGTCAAGTTGCCACGTGACCACTCACCAACTTGCCCTCCACAAATGCAAGTCCAGCCTGACCCTAAACTCCCCATGCTAAAATTTAAAAAGTGAAACACCAAAAAAAAAAAAAAAAAAAAAACACAGATGATACACATTGTAATAATAGATTTTTAACTGCACACATCCAAAAGATTATCATTTTGATGCA